AGCGAGATTCAGCATGGCCTTGTGGAACAACATTTTGTGAGAGCCCACCAGCTATTGCCTTACATGCTGTGAAAAGCAGGTTATCCCAGGGGTAAAATGCTCCCAGTTCGGACCGGATCGCCCGATCCGGTAGCGATGGAGGCGGGTGATGGAGAACCGGTAGCAAAAATCTCCACCCCCACCCCCACCCCCATGCCCAGCTGAGCCGCACAATCATCAGAGACTTTTTTTTAAATTTTAAAAGCATTTTTTTTACAATTTCGGCCGAAAAAAAGCTTTTAAAAGTTTAAAAAAAAAAGCCTCTGTTGATCGCGTGGCTTGTCAAAGGCATTTAAAAGAAAAAAAGGTTTTTTTTCTTTTAAATGCTCTGACGATCCCAGCTGAGTTGATCGGCAGATCGGCAGAGCATTTAAAAGAAAAAAAACCCTTTTTTTCTTTTAAATGCTCTGACGATCCAAGCTGAGTTCCCTGATCAGCAGAGGCTTTTTAAAAAAGCCCGTGTCGATCAGGGAACTCAGCTTCGATCGTTAGAGCCTTTTGAAAGCATTTTTTTACAACCTCTTAGCCGAAGAGGTTGTAGAAAAAGTGGTTTTAAAAGAAAAAAAAAAAATGGCCACGCCCACATCACACACACCCCACCAAGCCACGCCCACAGAACCGGTAGTAACAAATTTTAGATTTCACCCTTGGGTTATCCCTTTAAGTCATAACAAATAGTACCCATTTGTTTGGCACAGAATATTATGTGAGCAGACCAATAGTGTTGGATTAATTTTGATTTAGGATTTAGGGTGCTGTGTGTGAAACCAGTTCTTTAGTGTAGACTGGGCAGTAGTTCATTTCTTCCAGAACCTCTGCTCTTCTTTTTATTCATTGCACACTACACAAACTTAAACAGGTATACAAATTATTTTAAGCATCAGATCTTGGGTTTTAAGTTAGCTGCTTTGCCCTGGATAGCAAAAGTTCTTGAGCCATTCCTATGGCATATTTCCAGGCTGGAAATATAGCAATAGCAATAGCACTTAAACTTACAGTATATACGGCTTCAGAGTGCTTTACAGCCCTCTCTAAATGGTTTACAAAGTCAGCATATTGTCCCCCAACAATCTGGGTCCTCATTTTACCCACCTCGGAAGGATGGAAGGCTGAGTCAACTTTGAGCCGATGAGAATTAAACTGCTGGCAGTGGGAAGAATTAGCCTGCAATACTGCATTCCAACCACTGCGCCACCTCTACATCCAGAAGATGAGGACAATGAAGTTGTCTTTTTATTATACAGTATTGCATTGCATTGCATTTATCCTATTTTATTTATTTATTTATTCTTTTATATAGCCACTCATTTATCTGAGATACTCTGGATGGCAACAAAAATAAATAATTACATTAAAACTAAAACCACACTGATGTTCAACACAAGTCATTAGACACATGCAGCTATGTTGGAGCTTCCCATTTAAGGTTCCCAATGCCTCCAATGTCTTGGGAAAGAGCCACCTTGCAAAAGGCCAATAGAATAGGGACTGTTCATATTTCTATATTGGGAAAAATCTTTCTCACTCAGCCCTGAAACTTTCTTGCTGGACCAGTCAGTTACCTCTTTGGCTAACCTACATCCCAGAATGTTGTCTGGAGAATGAAATGAGAAAGGAGGACCGTGCAATTTTGAAGTCCTGTAGAAATAGCTGCATCTAAAGATATGTAGGTAAATATTTGTATAAATCCGTGTTCTATCAACCAGAGAAAAATTTTAAGATTTTTCTCATCATTTAGTAACTTTGGAGCTACTCTTAATTAAGGCCTGGCCATACAGTAGTGGCATTTAGATTTTGATCCATTGCTTTTTTCCTAGGCTGACTCCAATGCATACAACTCTCACTTCTATGTGGGTCCAGATTCTAAACATGCTAATATCTCCACAACATGAAGAACTATGCTGGCAAATGAAGGGCAGTTGTGCACCTTCAAGCTTCTTACTTCTTGAAAATATACTGAATTGAAAATAAACACAACAATGGAGAGGGAATGGAGAGGGGAGTAGAGGGATAGATAGGAAGAAAGGAGAGAGAGAGAAGGAAAGAAGAAAGGGAAAGGAGAGGAAGAAAGGGAAGGGAAATAAGAGTAAGAGAGAGGGTTAGAAAGGGAGGAAGAGGGGAGGAGTGGGAGAAAGGAAGGGGAAGGCGAGAAGGGGAAGGAGAGAAGGAAAGAAGAAAAAAGGATAGAAGAAGGGAGGGAAGTGAAAGAGGGGAGAAGGAGAGGAATGGTTGTTGTGGAAGAAGGGAGATGGAATGGTAGAAGAGCAAACCTCGAGTACATTTCAATTTTTTTAGAATGAAGAATGAACTAATATGAAAGTCAAAAAATAATATGTATGATTAGTAATGGATAAGAGATTGTACATTTATGTATGTGTATGAGAAATAAAAATGAAAAAACTTTAAAAAAAAAAAGCTTCTTACTTCTAAGTTTCCAAGTATTGGAAAGCATACAGACAGGAGAGAACCTGGTGATGTGTATTTGGAGCCTTTCCCACAGGTGTGTTGCACTGGTTTCTACCCTTCTTTGACCCAGCAGAAAACTGTATCAACATGACATTTGCTGTCCTATTCCTCATCTTTCCTGCCTCTCTTGCCTCCATCCCTAATCCTAACAGTGACCTGACTGACATCCCTCCAAGGTAAAGGGAGACAAAAGCTAATTGGCTTTGCACACCTTGTGTGCCCATTGAACGAGAGAAAATACTTTACCATCAATACAGCTAAGGATAACTGAAGATTGTCTCATTCACATGTTTGTTAAGTGCAAGGGTGGAAAAAACTCAAAGGAGACTTCTCAAGACTTTAGAAGCTAGCCTATCTCATTATGGGTAAAAGTCCAGGAAACACATGCTCTGGAACTCTTCAAGAAGCTGTCCTGAATCTGAGCTTTTCTCTAACTAGAATTGACAGCATAGCAGTCAAACTTGCAAATGACCAAATTACACAGACTAGTAAAACAGGAATGCATGGCAAAGAACTGTACAAGGGGCTTTCAGATTGGAGAATAAACAAGAAGAGTAAAGCACTCTCATTTTACAGGGACACAGTTGGTGTCAGCATGACGTAACTCAAGGAGAGAATGAGAGAAGGATGGAAGCAGTTTAACCATGTCATGATCCAGCATATGGCTGCCTTAAAAAGGTAAAAATCATTGTAGAATTTCACTAAAGAATCCATCCAGGAACATCCCCTCCTCAACTTGCTGGAACCTGTTAACAAAAACTGGCTTTGTTGTATAGTTTGTTATCGGATCTTCATAAAGGACTCGGGACTCTTTCTCAAAGTTGGGGAAAGCAACTTAAACAATCTGCAGGGGGTTGGAATCCTTCAAGAAGGAAAAGTTACAGCCTTTGACTCATTTAAAGTTTGAGGAGGAGGTGAGTAAGAGGAGACTGGCGTAACAGCTAAAATTATGCCCAATGTGATAATTGTGGGGAAATTGGCACGTAAGAAAGCCAGACAGTTAAAGAAGACACTTCTATATACAGCTTCTAGTTAAAATGGGGGCTCCTGAAAACTGCATCCTTCCACAAGCTCTGAAGGTGTATTAAGCAAAGGGTGACCAACAACTAGCAGTCATAAGAGCTACTGTATGAGCTATCTCTTGTGCGCATAATCAGGCATTTCCATATATACTGGTGAACTGGAAAGAACTTGTAATTGTCTAAGGCTCCTTGACTTCTCCAGTCGGCAGGAGAGGGGCAGAGAATAAAGGACCTGTTTGGGGGAAGAAGGACAAAGGCTTCCCTTGACTTTAGAGCAGTGGTGAAACCCAAATTTTTTTACTACTGGTTCTGTGGGCGTGGCTTGGTGGGCGTGGTGTGGCTTGGTGGGCGTGGCAGGGGAAGGATACTGCAAAATCTCCATTCCCACCCCATTCCAGGGGAAGGATACTGCAAAATCCCCATTCCCTCCCCACTCCAGGGGGAAGGATATTGCAAAATCTCCATTCCCACCCCACTCTGGGGCCAGCCAGAGGTGGTATTTGCCGGTTCTCCAAACTACTCAAAATTTCCGCTACCGGTTCTCCAGAACCTGTCAGAACCTGCTGGATTTCACCCCTGCTTTAGAATAACATCCTAGGAACCACTCTTCAAAACCAGTGGAGCGGAATAAAGAAGTGGGCAGGCCCAGGAGAAAAATTTTAAAAAAGGAATTGGATGTAATCAGCATAGAATGAAACTCAGTGCAATCAGTATAATTCCCTAAGCTTCGTGCATTTGATGGGACAACTGGGGGCAATATTCAGAAGTATTCTAGGAGATGCCCCCAAGGCTTTGTGTGTGGGGGGACTTCTGGGGCTCAGGCACTGTGTCCCTGTACAGACCAGCAGACCAGCAGTCAATATGAACTCAGGCTCAAGGTTGACTCAGCCTTCCATCCTTTCTAAGGTGGGTAAATTGAGGACCCAGTTTGTGGGGGCAATAAGCTGACTTTGTATAAAATATACAAAAGTATGAAGGCTATTGCTTAACGCATTGTAAGCCGCCCTGAGTCTCCGGAGAAGGGCCGCATATAAATCAAATTTAAAAAAAAAACTGTGGCTTGGCTTGCTGTCCACACTGAACCAACAAACAACGGGCTGCTAAGATTTCCATGGAATCTCTTGAAGGCTGCATCATTTGGGGGAGGGGGTGGGGTTAGATACAGCAGAAATCAGTGCCGCTGAATTGTTGCATCCCCACCATGACCTTTAACAGCCTTTTAAGCAAAAAAAAAAAAAAAAAAAACCACACACAACCCGGTGATTTGGAGAGTGCTAGGCTATCCCGGTCCTGCAAGATGTAGAGTTAGTTTTGAACATCTGGGTCGCTTGGCGAAAAATCCGGGCTAATCCCAGGGGTCTTGGAGAAGGTGCATTGGCTGGGGAGCGCGCGCCGGTGTGTATATGTGTGGACGCGCGCGCTTGTGTGCACATGCATCCACCTATTTTCCAATCAGAGAATCTTTGGGGCGACCAAAGGAAGGAAAAGTGGGGGAGAGGAGGCAGAGAAAGAGAGACAGGGATTAGGGAGGGAGGGAGGATGGCGAGGGAGAGGTGGCAACTGGAAAAAGGCTAAAGGGAAAGAAAAAGAGCAGCATTCCTCTTTCTCTCGCGTTCTCCCTCCCTCCCTCCTCCCTCTCTCGTCCTTAATGCATAGCGGGGAGGGGGGAGGGTCTCTATCCTCCCTCCCCCTCCCATTTGCACTCCAATCCTCTCCAAAGCCGGGTGCATTAAACCGCGAGGATTTTCCGAGCGGATTTCCTTGCCCGTCGCTTCGCTGCCATCTCTAATTCCCTCGGGCGCTCGCCTCCTCTCCCGGAGCAGGCGGAGATGCCGGGCGGAGAGACCCCCGAGTCCCAGGGATCCTTAGGGGAGCCTTCGGCAGCGGCAGCACGAATCCCCGGAGTCAGGTAAGAGGGGGGGGGGGGGGGGGGGGGGGGGGGGGGCGGTTATTCCTGGCAAGGAGAAGAGAGAGTTGCCCCGAGCATCTGCAGAGGGCTTACTCCCCGCGGACTTACTACTAAGGGGAAGCAAAGGAAGAAGGCAAGTTGAACCTGAGCTCACGGGGAGGAGGAGATGCTTGCCACGGGCATGTAACTCGGCTTCAAACCGGATCGGAAGGGCTTGGAAGAGAACCCGCGGGAGAAGAAAAACGTTTTCTACTTGCCCCTCTGGAGCATCTTCGGTTATTTTGCATTCCAGGCTGAGTGTGAGAGGCGAAAAAGCAGAGCCCGCAAAAAGTGGAGGCGCCTGACCCTCCGCCCTCCAGCCCAGCCCAGCTCAATCCTAGATTGAAGCGGGTTTGTGGGGCGAGGTTGGGGCACCTGATGGGATAGGAAGAAGGGAAGCAGCCCGGTCTGTCCCATGAGGAGCAGCCCACTCTCTGCCGGTGCTCCTGGCCTGGCACACACTCCCCAGACGTTGCTGGGAGAAGAAATGCCTTTGTCTGGCTTTGCCCAAGATTGGATCCATCCAACCCTTTGGAGCGAGCGCCCGGCCTCTCCACAGGGGACCGCCAAATGCGAGTCCCCCCCACCAACCCCCCAATTGGTCTTTGTCTGAAGAACTAGTTGTATGGGCAAAGAGGAATGCAGAGGTGAAACCCTTCGCCCATTTTGCAGATGGGTAAACTGAGGGGCTTGTTATAAAGGCACCCGACCCATTGCGGGTTCCAAATGGACAAGTTAGTACCAGGGAACGAACATTCGTGTTTTTGTATTTTTTTCCAAGCATCTGGACCAGGTTGGAGAAGCTGAGTGAGCCCATCAGCTAGAAAAGGGCTGCCTCTTTAGAAACTAATGCTAGGTTAGCCGTCTTGAGTCTTCGGAGAAAGGCAGCATACAAGTTGAAAGAAAGAAAGAAAGAAAGAAAGAAAGAAAGAAAGAAAGAAAGAAAGAGAGAGAGAGAGAGAGAGAGAAAGAAAGAAAGAAAGAAAGAAAGGAAGGAAGGAAGGAAGGAAGAAAGAAAGAAAGAAAGAAAGAAAGAAAGAAAGAAAGAAAGAAAGGAAGGAAGGAAGGAAGGAAGGAAGGAAGGAAGGAAGGAAGGAAGGAAGGAAGGAAGGAAGGAAGGAAGGAAGGGTTCGCGGTGGGAAGAGAAAGGCAAGAGAAAGTTGTGAAGGAGGGAATACTGCAGAAGCCGGTGAAGAACATGTTGAACCTGAGCTCACGGGGAGGGAGGAGATGCTTGCCACGGGATGTATCGGCTTCAAACCGGATCGGAAGGGCTTGGAAGAGAACCCGGGGAGAAGAAAAACGTTTTCTACTTGCCCCTCTGGAGCATCTTCGGTTATTTTGCATTCCAGGCTGAGTGTGAGAGGCGAAAAAGCAGAGCCCGCAAAAAGTGGAGGCGCCTGACCCTCCGCCTCCAGCCCAGCCCAGCTCAATCCTAGATTGAAGCGGGTTTGTGGGGCGAGGTTGGGGCACCTGATGGGATAGGAAGAAGGGAAGCAGCCCGGTCTGTCCCATGAGGAGCAGCCCACTCTCTGCCGGTGCTCCTGGCCTGGCACACACTCCCAGACGTTGGGAGAAGAAATGCCTTTGTCTGGCTTTGCCCAAGATTGGATCCATCCAACCCTTTGGAGCGAGCGCCCGGCCTCTCCACAGGGGACCGCCAAATGCGAGTCCCCCCCACCAACCCCCCAATTGGTCTTTGTCTGAAGAACTAGTTGTATGGGCAAAGAGGAATGCAGAGGTGAAACCCTTCGCCCATTTTGCAGATGGGTAAACTGAGGGGCTTGTTATAAGGCACCCGACCCATTGCGGGTTCAAATGGACAAGTTAGTACCAGGGAACGAACATTCGTGTTTTTGTATTTTTTTCCAAGCATCTGGACCAGGTTGGAGAAGCTGAGTGAGCCCATCAGCTAGAAAAGGGCTGCCTCTTTAGAAACTAATGCTAGGTTAGCCGTCTTGAGTCTTCGGAGAAAGGCAGCATACAAGTTGAAAGAAAGAAAGAAAGAAAGAAAGAAAGAAAGAAAGAAAGAAAGAAAGAAAGAGAGAGAGAGAGAGAGAGAGAAAGAAAGAAAGAAAGAAAGAAAGGAAGGAAGGAAGGAAGGAAGAAAGAAAGAAGAAAGAAGAAAGAAAGAAGAAAGAAAGAAAGGAAGGAAGGAAGGAAGGAAGGAAGGAAGGAAGGAGGAAGGAAGGAAGGAAGGAAGGAAGGAAGGAAGGAAGGAAGGAAGGGATGGATGATTGGAAGAAATCAAGAAGTGAGCTCCATCTCCATAGAAAGATAGTTATCTCTGTGCTGGCCACCCAGGAATGGTTGCATTAATTAAGCCTGAGGCCGTTTTGACCAAGGTTAAAGAACTCCATAGGTTAACAAGACCTCAGCCTGTGAGCTTTGCTTTTCATAGTATGACATGGACTGTAGTTTGCAAATGTTCCTTGAAATCTAACAGTGAAAATGACCTTTCACAGGGACCCAAGTAGTTCTCAGAGTTTGACCTGTCTGTCAACCTCCTCCTTACCTAGACGATCTCTAGGTAACAAACATCTCAAGGCTGAGGAATCTTAACAGGGATAAGCAAAAGGGGGATACTGGTGGGCACGTCAGGAATTATTAGTTCCTAGAAAATAGTTCCAGTGGGGCAATCCTAAAACACCTCTATACCAGAAAGCAAGTTAATATGCTTGCCCCCCTCCACATCACCTCTGGCACCACAGGATGCACTCTTCTACCCTAGTTTTGATTCTTTGGGGAGCAGACAAATGGGCAAATTTCTAAACAAGCCATTTGATTACAGTAACTTATTAGTTTTATTTTCTAGCAAAACTTATATATCTTCAGTGGTATTCTTGAAACAAAGGTGAAGATGGAATGATGGGAGGAGGAGGAGGAAGATAAGGAGGAAGAGGAGGAGGAAGAAGAGAAGAGGAGGAAGAGGAGGAGGAAGAGAAGAGGAGGAGGAAGATAAGGAGGAAGAGGAGGAGGAAGAAGAGAAGAGGAGGAAGAGGAGGAGGAAGAGAAGAGGAGGAGGGAGAGGAGGAGGGAGAGGAAGAGGAGGAAGAGAAGAGGAGGGAGAGGAGGAAGAGGAAGAGGAGGAGGAAGAGGAGGAAGAAGAGAAGAGGAGGAAGAGGAGGAGGAAGAAGAGGAAGAGAAGAGGAGGAGGGAGAGGAGGAAGAGGAAGAGGAGGAAGAGGAGGAGGAAGAATAGAATAGGAGGAAGAGAAGGAAGAGAAGAAGAAGAGGAGGGAGAGAAGGAGGAGGAGGAGGAAGAGAAGAGGAGGAGGGAGAGGAGGAAGAGGAAGAGGAGGATAGCAAGAAAAAGGATAATTTGGACATATTGATACCCATAGGCACTATGTTGCTCAAACCTGAGAAAACAGGTGATATATTTTCTGTGTAGTTTTGATATTTTTACTTTCCTGCCATCCGTTGTCATCTGAATTCAACCTTATTCTATCAGCCAGACTTTTTACAACCTCAGTCACTTTCTAGTAATCAGCTCATGACTTTTCTTTTGTTCAACAATGATAAAGACTCAGGGATCCAAAGAGATTCTGCACAGGAAAGCTTCAACATGCCAGGAAAAAAAAAACCTACAGTATTTTCAACTTTGAATCAACAGAATAAAATTCCAGGCCAGCAGACAGTCAGACTAGGAAGCAGTAAGAGAGGAAGCACCATAGGTCATTCAGTGTCCTGCATGAAGCAGGTCCCAGCTCAATTTCTGGCTTCTCCTGGTAATGTCCTTCCTCTTAAAAAAGCCAAAACAAAACCCTTCTTTCAGTCAATCTAGACTAGCTCTCCTGACTTGGTTCTATTCATACATGTTAGGATTATAACTCCCAGACCGTGCAGGCTTCAGATTGCATTGCAAAACGTTAGAGATGTGCAAATTACTAGAACATTCCAGAACATTAGAACATTCCAGAAGAGTCTAGATCATTCTTTATCTGTCAACCATTCCTGGTAAACCAGGTAGGAAATGTGACAAGATGAGCTAAATCTATTTTACTGTATCTGGTCAGAATATGGGGTACCATGACTATCCCCCCACCACCCAGTCTCAACTGTCCCTACCTATCCTCCATCCCTCCACACACACACACACACACACACACACACACACCAGCACAACTGATGAAGATTCTTGGATGAGAAATGAAACATTTTGTTCTTCTTCCTCAAGGAAAAAAACAGCCCAGTTGCCTTTTGAAAAAGCATTTTTGAGACTACTTGATAGTAAGGTTACATGATAGTAAGATTACAGTAACAAGATCTTGCAAGCTTGAAGGTACAAACTTCCCACTACCACTTTTAACCATCTGATTAATTAGGGAGGATCCTCCTTACGTTTCTTTCTCTGACTGTTAAGCGACTGACCGAGGACTCCTCCGTCTCTTGTTTGATAATTCCCTAGGCAGCATCTCCTTCCTTCCTCCCTCAAGGTCGTGCATACAGTAACAGAGTTGGAAGGGACCTTTGGAGGTCATCTAGTCCAACCCCCTGCTCACGCAGGAAAACCTGTACTAGGGATTCGAATCTTTCTGATCGACAAGCTCAGTGTCTTAGCCACTTGAGCCACCTAGTCAGGTACATTTCATTACAGTATCCCTCTGGAATATGCTTGTACTTATTGTACTCTTTCCTTGGTCATGTCCATGTTTATACTTATACCTGTTATCTAGTACATGTTCGACAAATTAAATAAATAAATAAATAAAATTCTGGGAGAGTGGTTTCCAGAAGTAAATCCTCCTAACTAGAAGGAGGCTGAGGTGTTTCCCACACGATGTTTTAAAGGAAATAAACCTATTTCGGAACTGGCGCACCCAGAAAAATTGTGAACTGCTTCCAGTTTGAAGGATTTACCTTTGCAAATTCCCAAACAGAAATGTTGGGAGGAAACTCAGCCCGCTGCAGGGGGAAATGGAATTCTGAAATTTTCCAGAATGTTCTATTCCCAAGTCA